CCCCCCCCGTTTGTGTGTTTATTTATTTTTAGCTTTTACAAATAAGTGAGAACATGTGGTATTCCTCCACTTTTGCCCCTCTTTCATGTGCTTTTTAAACACTGGCAGCTACTTTTTTGATCTCTTACATTATACAAATTGGTTGTATCCTGCCTGTTATAATCCCATGAGTTCCTTGACAAAGAGTTTTTAAAATAAATGCCTTCCTCCAGCAGGAATCCTCACAGGGGAAGGCATCCATTCCATTTAATTCTGCAAACCTGTACTGAGCCATACAGCGTGCCTGGAACAATGTTAGCTACCGTGGGGTATAAACACGAGTCATATGATCGAGAGTGTACTTTTCTTAATTAGAAAGGAGAAGAGAGGAGAACGAAGGACTGTAAGAAATCTGATGCCTTTTACTTGACCCAGTTGGAAGAGCTGACAGAACAAGTTTCCGCCTCTCTGTTCAGCTGAGGCCTGGAGTTAAGGTTATATTCTTGGCCTTGTCTCCTTACCAGTGTGTCTTCCCAGCCCAGCAGCGGCCCCGTTCACAGCCAAGCTCAGCACAGGGTCCAAGAACCTTGCTGGAAGCTTGGTGTCTGTCTCAGAGTTTTTAGGGAGAGGGAAAAGCCAAGTCCAGCTCCTCAACATCAGAATGTTGAAGTAGCGACAGTTTACAACTAAAGGGTCGTGCAGAAGTCTGAGTGTGCTCCAGCCAAGATGGAAAGGGCTCAAGCTCCCTCAGCAGCTGAGAAAACACACAGTGCCCACAGCATATGGACTGAAAAGACACTGGAAGCTCAGCAAACGTGCAGAGGTGGCAGCAAGTGTATCCTTCACACCCCTTGTGTGGCCATAGCTTCAGGCTCCCGCAGGGGCTTGGGTAGGCAAGGCAGGGTAATTTGTACATGGTGGAGTGGGAGGGACTGAATGGTAGGCCGGGGGTGTTTGCTAGGAATTTGAGAGTTCTGATGAGCAGGGGTAGAAACTATGAATCAGTGGGCATGTTGACATTGGTGTACCCTTTGTTCCTCTGCAGGAATTTCAGATTGAGTTGCTCCTGGCCAGAAAATAAAAACTGTTCATCTACCATGCTGCCTTTTCCATTGGCCCTCAAGACTGGGCTTGGAACCTCTGGCTTCCGCAGGGCAGCAGGCCGTTCTCCTTTGTTGGGAGTGGCAAGCCTACCGAGGCTTTTGAAGTCTTTATCTCATCCTGCACTCAAATGCTCAGAACAAAATTAATTTATAAGCACCTTTCTTTTCGGGGATCATGTAACAAAGTTTCTATAGAGCAAGGGCTGGTGAAAGGAACTTCGCTACACAGCATCCATAATTAATTCTTTTGAGACGTGCAAGAAGGTCACTGGTAGTTTAGTATGCTGTCCTCATGGCTTAATTCTAGTGACTGTTAAAGAAAAAAAAGAAGATTGATAGGCTTTTATTTCATTCCCAAGTCCCTGCTCCCCAATGCTCTCTTCCCCATGAAGCTTAATGTACTCAATGGGGGTTTTCAGGAATTGAATTCTAATGGTGAGAAAGACTATAGCAGCACCAATAGAAATATAACACAAGCCACATGTTTAAATTTTCTAAGTAGCCTTATTAAAAAAGGTAAAAAGAAACAGTTGACATTAGATATTTTATTTAACCCAATACATATCTAAAATATCATTTCAACATGTAATCAATAAAAAAATCATTGATATGATATTTTATTTATTTAATTTTTTTTTTTTCTTTTTTGCACTAAGTCTTTGAGACCTGGAGTGTCTCCCATACTTATAGCACATTTCAATTTGGGTTGGCCACATTTCAAATGCTCAATAGCTCACGTGGCTACTGCACTGAGCAGCGCAGGCCTAGAGTGTATGTGGGCCACAGTGCCGCCCTGGGAGATCCGCCTAGGCATGCAGTCAACAAACCCTCTAGGCCGCATTCTAGCAGCGCACAAGCGATGATACAGGCAGGAGGGAGGAGACTGGGGTCAGAAGCAGGGATTACAGCTGGGTTTCGCTTATAAAGGTAAATGGAAAAGCAAAGGGGAGGATGTCGTGGGTGGAGAAACCTGTGTAGCCCGGGCGGTGGGAAGAGGCCATTCGCAGGATGCAGGAGAACCCGCGGGGGAAATGCATCCTGCTACCTGGGCAGGGAGGATTTTACCCGGGCCGACGACGTTTGGCTGACCGTTGCTCCTTTTTTGTCTTTTCTCCTCCGTGCTGCCTCCCCAGCGGTGGTCCTTGGCCTGCCCAGCGCTCGGGCCGCGGGGGCCTGCGCGCGCGCCTGCCCGGCTGCCTGCGCCTGCAGCAGCGTGGAGCGCGGCTGCTCGGTGCGCTGCGACCGCGCGGGCCTCCTGCGCGTGCCGGACGAGTTCCCATGCGAGGCAGCCTCCATCGAC